ATGGAAAAATCTCACAAATATAATGTGGAATAACAGAAGCCAGATTTGAGGTTGTATATTATACAATTCCATTTAGATAAAGTTCAAAAACAGGTAAAAACTAATCTATGCTGTGTGAAGTCAGGATAGTGGTTACCCTTGGGTGGACAGTGGTGGAGAATGGGTATGAAAGGGGGTAATAATGTTCTCTTTCTTGATTTGGGTGCTGGTTACAAAGATGTGTTCAGATTGTGGAAAATCAAAATTTGTACATTGATGACTTGTGTATTTTTCTGTATAAAAATTTTACTGAAGTGTTTGCTTTGGTATATACTAAAGTTGGAATAATACAGAGAAGATCAGCATGGCCCCTGCACAAGGATGGCACACAAAATCATGAAGCATCCCATTTTCAATCTTGGACTGAAAGATCAATACAAGCTTTGTAAAACAATTTTTTGATATGAAGTTTACCAAATATGTAAGTGAATGAGTTGAATTTGTATTTCACTATTTAGTAGAGTATACCAATGTGCTGATAAGGCAATTGTTATCCTCTATACAGGATGAAATGATTAGCTACTGCTTTGTAACATCATTCTTTGACATGATTTAATATAGAATAAGAGTTGAGAGATAATATTTCTGAATAAGTAACTTTTCAATTCAAAAAAAGTTTACTTAAAAAATTCAGCCAATTAAAAAAACAGGAAAAGAAACTAGATTTGCACATCAAAGGACTTTATCAAGAAAGTAAAGAAACAACCTACAGAACAGGAGAAAATATTTGGGAACCATATATATAATACGGGTTTAATATCTAGAATATATATATTTATTGTTGAGTTCTAGGAGTTTTGTGTGTACACACATAAACAAAAAAAGAAACTCCTAGAATTCAACAAAAAAACCTTGAACAATCTAATGCAAAAAAAAAAAAAAAATGGGCAAAGGACTTGAGTAGACATTTCACCAAAGAAGATATACAAATGGCCAATAAGCACATTAAAAGCTACTCAACATCATTAGTCATGAAGGAAATGAAAATCAAAACACAATAAGATACCACTTTACCCCTACTAAGATGACCATTATTAGAAAAATGGAAAATAAGCGTTAGGGAGGATGTGGAGAAATTGGAATGCTCAAGTACTGCCAGTGGGATTATAAAATGCATCTGCTGGGGAAAACTGTTTGGTGGCTCCTCAAAAAGTTAAACAGAATTACCATATGACCCAGCAATTCTACTCCTAGTTATACAACCAAAAGAATTGGAAGAAAGGGCTTAAACAGACACTAGTATACCAATGGTCACTGCAGCATCATTCACAATAGCCAAAGGTGGAAATGACTCAAGTGTCCATCAAGAGATGAACGGATAAACAAAATGTAATATACGTATACAATGGAATACTATTCATCATAAAGAGAAATTAAGTTCCGATACATGCTACAACATGGATGAACCCTGAAAACATTATGCTCAGTGAAACAGGTCAAACACAAAAGACAAATATTGTGTGATCTCACTTACATAAAACATCCAGAATAGGTAAATGCATATAGACCAAAGTTTATCTGTAGTAACCAGGGATAGGTGGGAGGGGGAAATAGGGAGTTACTGTGTAAGGGGTACTGAGTTTCTGTTAAGGATGATGAAAAATTTGGAAATAGGGATGATGGTAGCACAACATAAAAACCAAAAAAATCAAACCCACTGCTACCAAGTCAATTCTAACTCACGGTGACCCCTGGTGGGTTTCTGAGGCTATAAATCTTTATGGAAATAGATTGCCCCGTCTTCCTTCCACAGAGTGGCTGGTGGGTTTGAACCATCAACCTTCTGGTTAGCCGTCAAATGACTTAGGCACTGCTCCACCAGAGCTCCTTGAGTATAACATAGTGAATGTAATTAACGTCATTGAATTGTGCATGTAAAAATGGTGAAATGGCAAACATTTTGTTACATATATTACTCCACAATAAAGTATTTTAAAGGTCATTTACTTTGACATAATAAGCAATAAAGCATCTAGAAGGATACTTCACTTTCTTAGTGATTACATGAATCTTACTCATACTAAATTGTACTTTACTTCCATTTTAAAATATTTTAAAATGATTTATAGTTATAACTGAAGACCGCTGCCCATTAATAATGCAATGTACTTTCGTCTAACTCTTCCTGCGAAGACCAAGGAAAATAGCACAGACAAATTCAAATCAAATTTTGAGACAGATTTTGCCTCAAGGGTCAGATTTAAGGAACAGGCAGTTTTGTTCAGCTGTACACAGGTTCACTAGGAGTCAGAACTGACTCCACAGCACCTAATAACAACTTCTGATGCAAAACAGAAGCAGTTCAAGAGTGTTGACTGAATAGGGAAGAACACAGAAATGCAAAAGTCTTGGCACTTACTTCAATTGTCCGGATAATATCTCGGGGACCAATAATTTCTGGATCATATTTAATATGTGCTTTATTGGTTGCCAGGGCCACAGAGCAGTAGAAAATCCCTCTATGTTTTGTGAGAGTAGACTCTATTTTATGTTCACAGGAAGCACAAGTCATTCCTCTCACCTGTTAAAAGCAAAGTCTTTTTTATTCAGAAATATACTTTTCTTTCCACTAAGTATGATGAGAGTTATAACTTTAAACTAAAAGGACATTTGTAACGTGGGATTACCACATAGGATCTTATCAGAACTCTTAGCATGCTTTAAATATGATCATTAGAATAGCATTTTTATACCATATTAAACAAAGCATGGTTTTAGCTACAATAGGCTTGATTGAATTTCAGGATCTCATTTAAAAAGCCCTTCTCTTCCTGTCATTACTGCTTAGTAATAAAGGATTTGACATCTATCATTGTTTTTTTAATCTAATTCCTTGCTTCCTTCTTGATATATATTTTCAACCAGCCTTTAGTATTACTTTTTGTGAGGGTTAATGGGTAGTGTCTTAGTTATCTAGTGTTGCTATAACAGAAATATCTCAAATGAGGGTCTTTAACAAACAAGATTTTTTTTCCCTCATAGTTTAGGAGGCTAGAAGTTGAAATTCAGGGTGCTGCTTCCACAAGTAGATTTCCTCTCTCTATCAGCCCTGGGGGAAGGTCCTTGTCTATTTAGGTTCTGTTTCCTAGTTTCTCATTGGTCTCTATGTGGATTGGCATCTATCTTCCTCCATATCTGCTTTTTCAATTGCTTTTTTAACCTCTTTTATACCCCAAAAAAGATTGACTCAAGACAAATTCCACACTAATCCTGCTTCATTATCATAACAAAGACAATCCATTTCTTAATGGGATTATAACCACAGGCATAGAGGTTAGAATTTACAATACACATTTTTTTGGGGAACACAATTCAATCCATAATAGATAGTAAAAGTGTCTTGTCTTTGTATGTCTATAAATGCATTTTGCCTATGTCTTGAGTGAGGTCACAGTTTAGTTGAACACTGAACTCTAAATGTGAGGGGCAGGATTTATGGAATGACTATGTGAGAAACTCAGCAAATCTTCAACCCAAAAAGCAATGACATGACTGTACAGAACTATCAGAACACCCATTGAAAGGCTTTATAAAATGACCAAAGAGTATATAAAAAAATTTAACAGTATAAAAAAAATTACTCTTGAAACATTATTCAAGAGTATCTCCTGAGGGAATGCCAGCAAAAATAGTTGAGTAAGGACCTTTGAAAATTTTCTCCTTCATAAAAGCAATGAGGAAACTGGCAAAAATTGTCAGAATCAATGTTTTCAGAAATCTAGAAATTAAATAAAGGCTTGTAACAATATTAGAAGTACTTATTAAGAAAAACAAATTGATAACAATAAGAGTAGAATATATGTTGTTATAACTTGCCCTATTCACATCCCCTTCCTTCCAGCTCCACAGTAGGCTTGAAAGCCAATAGTCCACAATCATGGTTTAAAAATAAATAAGTAAAATGGAAGCCACAGGAAGTGGATGGAGCGCCTTCAAAGCCTCATTTCCAGAGAACTGTCATTATTATACCTGCCTGATACTTCCCAGGAAGTGCTCACTTACAAGGATAAATATGTTTGTCCTGACAAGAGCACAACTAAGATAACCAAGCAGAGACTTCAGTGGTCACACACACACAAAAAATATCAATTTTACAGTTAGTTTAGAAAGGTTTTAAAACAAGCAACAACAACAAATCCTGAAAACAGGAGGCAGGGGGAATCTGGGTTCCAAAGTTGCCATACTATATTAATTAAAATATCCAGTTTTCAATTAAAAGTTAAGAGACATTCAAAGAAACAAAAAAGTAGAGTCAAAACACAGAGAAAATAAGAATAGGAACTACCCCTAAGAAAACCCAGATGCTGAAATTATCAGACAAATATTTATCAGATATTTTAAATATGTTCAAAGAACTAAAGCCAACTATGTGTAAAGAATTAAAGAAAACTATGAGAATTATGTCTCACTAAATAGAATGTTAATAAAGAAAAAAATTTTTTAAGAAAAAACTAAACAGAAAGCCTGTAGGTGACAAGTACAATAACTGAAATAAAAGCAATGCCTAGAGGGAAATTTATAAGTGTAAAAACCTACATTAAACAAAAAAAAAAATCAAATCAATAACTTAATCTTCAAACTTATGATACTAGAAAAAGAAGAGCAAAGTTAACTTAAAACAAGACAAAGAAAGAAAATAATAGAGATTAGAGAATAAATTAATGAAATAGAGAATAGGAAAACAGAAGACAGTATCATTTTAAAAGACCAACAAAAATGACAAACTTTTGGCTAAATGGATCAAGAAAAAGGAGAGAAGTCTCAAATTATTCAAACGAATGCAAGGGAGGACATTACTATTGGCCTTACCAAAGGAAAATAAGAGAACATACTATCAACAATTAATGGTATGCAAACAAATTAGATAACCAAGATGAAATGAATAAAACCTAGAAAGACACAAACTACTGAAAATGACTCAAGAAGATATGAGTTATCTGAATAGATATCTAACAAGAGACTGAATTAGTAATCAAAAAACTCCACAAAGACTCCAGAACTAGATGGCTTGACCAGTGAATTCTATCAACTGTTTAAAGAATTATCACCAATTCTTCACCAACTCTTCCAAAAAAGAGAAGTGGAGATAATAATTCTTAACTCTGGTAGCGCAGTGCCTAAGGCACTTGAATGCTAACCAGAAGGCTGGTGGTTCACATCCACCAGCCACTCCTCTGAAGGAAGATGAAGCAACCTACTTTCATAGTGATACTGCCTTGGAAACCCAAGGAGGGGTCGCTATGAGTCGGGTCCAACTCTATGGCACACAACAACAACAACAACTCATTCTATAAGGTCATTATTACTGATACCAAAAGCAGACAAGACATTTAAGAACACTACAAAGTAATATCCCTTATGAATATAGATGTAAAATCCTCAATAAAATACCAACAAACCTAATCCAGCAATATATAACTAATGTACACTATATTCAAGTGGGAATTATCACAATACAAGGTTAATTCAATGAATAAAATCATTAAATGCAATGCAGCACATTTAACATAGTAAATTACAAAAGCCACATGAACATCTTAACTGACACAGGAAATTCATCTGTCAAAATTCAAAACCCCTTCACCATAAAAATACCCAACAAGCTAGGAATAGTAACGAACTTCCTCAACCTGGTACAGGAATCAAGACTGTGTAGTACTGGCATAAGGACAGACATACAGATCAATGGAATAGAAATGAGAATCCAGAAATATACCCTCACAGAGTTAATTTATTTTTTAAATGTGTCATTTTTGTGGTTGTTGTTGAGAATATACACAGTAAAAACATACACCTATTCAACTTTCTATATGATGTGTGTCCTTTCACCATACTTATTCAATCTGTATACTGAGCAAATAATGGGCGAAATCAGACTGTATGAAAAAGCAGCATTAGGAATGGAGAAAGACTCGTTAACAATCTGTGATATGCAGATGACACACACTACTTGGTGAAAATGAATAGGACTTGAAACACTGACTGATGAAGGTCAAAGCCTTTACTACGGATGACTCCTCAACATAAAGAAAACAAAAATCCTCACAACTGGACCAACAAACAACATCACAATAAACAGAGAAAAGACTGAAGTTTTCAAGTATTTCATTTTACTTAGATCCACAATCAACGCCTATGGAAGCAACACTCAAGAAATCAAATGACACACTGCATTGGGTAAATCTATCGCAAAAGAACTCTTTGTATTAAAAAACAAAGATGTCACTTCAAGGATTAAAGTGGGCCTGACCCAAACCATGGTATTTTCAATTGCCTCAAATATATGTGAAAGATGAAGAATGAATAAAAAGACTAAAGAAGAGTTGATGCATTTGAATTATGGTGTTGGTGAAGAATACTGAGTATACTATGGACTGCCCAAAAAACAAACAAATCTATCTTGGAAGAAACAGCCAGAATGCTCCTTCAAAGTGATGATGGCAAGACTTCATCTCATACACTTTGTACATGTTATCAGGAAGGACCTGTCCCTGGAGAAGGACATTATGCTTGGTAAATGCAAGATCAGCAAAAAAGAGGAAGATCATCAACAACATGGATTGGCCCAATGGCTGCAATAATGGGCTCAAACACAGCAACAATTGTGAGAATGGTGCAGGACTGGGCACTGTTTCATTCTGTTGTATGTTGGGTTCCTATGAGTAAAAACCAAATCAATAACACTTAACAACTAACAACATGTACATTTCAGTGACACTAATTACATTCTTCGAGTTCTGCAACAATTCTCACCTTTTTCCAAGCTGTTCTTCTTTAATTAACATACATCACTGACTCCTAAGGTTCCTTTATAATCTTTCAAGTTGCTGTTGTTAATTTGATCCCTTATAGATAGACTTTAAAAGACCATAATGCTCAAGGCAGACATTCTTTCCTAATTAAGCAAAAGTATTGATTGGTTGTAAGAAGACTTCAGGTAATATTCTTGGTTTAAGGCTTAAACACTATCTTAAGGCAATAGCTTCATGGGGTTCATTCAGCCTCCATAGCTCTAGAAAATCTAGATTCAATAAGAATTTGAAATTCTGTTCTGCCTTTTCCCCCCTTGGATTAGGACTCTCTTATAAAATCAAAAGGTTCAGCAATGGTACCTGGGCACTATCAAGTTCTTTGGGCAAAAGAGGCAGTTGTTTTTGGAGTCAATTAGTCACACATCTCATTGCCTACTCCCATTCCTGACTCTCCTTCGTTACTCCAGGTGAAGAGAGATCAACTATTGTCCATTGGATGGTCCTGTGCAAGCTTTTATGACCACAGGCACTATGCAATGAACAAGGAGGTAGAACAAAAACCCTAAACACATTGTTGATGGTGTTGTTCTGAGGTGTCATCAAGTCGGCTCCGGGTCATAGTAACTCTATGTACAACAGAATGAAATGCTGTCCAGTTGTCTATCATCTTCACAATCCTTGCTATACATGAACCCATCATTGAAGCCATTGTGTCAATCCATCGCCTTAAGGGTCTTTCCCTTTGTTACTGACCCTCCACTTTACCAAG